TCATAAGTAATCTAACTACTTTCAATAGCAAGTTCATCAGGTAATTTCAAGAAGAGCAGTTTTGAACTGGTAATGATATTTCCTTGAAACTTCCAGTTTTAAAGGATTTTTGTCCTGTCTTGAGCTGCCGATAGGTGCATGTACCTACTATTTGAACAGAATACTAACCTGTTTCTTGGCTTTAAGTTTCAAGTAAATTTTCACTTTTCATCTGGATTCTTTTGTGCCTGCCATACAAACTTAGATTAAAGACATTAAGTAAAGGATAAGTTTAAACGGCTACATATGTCCATTACTCAATACAAAAATAAAAGCAAACCTACTCTATAAACTTACTTGACCTTTTTTGAGAGAAAACGCTGGGGTTTCCTTAACATGTTGATCATTTCACATTTGTTTTCTATATCATTACTTAGATTCATCTGTTTATAGTATTTTATATTTCATAGTATGCCATTTAATTTTAATTATTTTTACTTTGTTTTCTCCTTGATAATTGGATTATCTATCAAGCATTTGATATTTTTAATACCCTGTGTTTCAGGGACTCCATGAAAAGACCGGTGCATTTACAGCTGTTAAAGTGATGAATGCTCGTAAGGTAATGTTATAGCTTATCTATATTCTATTCCCTTAACACGTTGTGTCCTTGGGATAAATAGCTAAGAATATATTGTACTTTTAAAAAAAACATTATTTTATATAATTATTATCATTTTAATCTGGATTTATTTGAGATTTAACGTTAAATATTTTATTTATCATTTAATGTTATTTATATCCATTATATGTTATACTTAGTAATGTATTTTATTTCCACTTGAAAATACTTTTTTTCTCAGCAAAAGTTCCATATATTTTGATATTCTATAGCAATAGGATAAATATCTATATTATTCTCTTCATCTAGTTGATTATCTGTTTCCAGGGATAGAAAAGAAGAGATTTCCTCTAATAATTGTGTTAATCCTGCTGTGTTTCATCACATTCTTTTCCCTCTTCAATGATTCAGTCTGAAAATTGAGGCCATTAGATTCTCAATGACAAGAAGAAGGAAAGAACTTGTCAGAGATGCACATTTTCATTTATTTTATGACAGATGAGGAAGAGAGACAGTTTAATTGGCAGTGTTCCTGCTAACATTCATAAAGCTGTGTCATGGTTTGTAACATATTGTCATGGAATTTGCTAAGCACTGATTTTTGGCTTCTTTCTTTAACATGAGTGCCTTACTTATTCAAGAAAATATTAGCAGGAACACACCAAAGGTCAAAAAATTTTCACTTCACTATATCCTAAAGGAAAGTTTATGTTTGAAAACCTATACAGATTCACTGAACTGCTGTCAATGCTATAAACTACTTTTCCAATTTGTGCAGGAACTAATTGCTGAAACTGTTTAAAGAATTGTGTGCCTTTTGCTTTGTCTATAAATGTCAATGCAAATCTATGTGAGTTTCAAGGAATTTTGAGGTTTTGTATATTTATTTTTC